TGCACTCTGTAATTTACAAACGAACGTTACATTACCAGCTTCGTGCCAGTTTTTTTTTTTGTCAGTTAGTCGAAACGATGGACAAACCTCTGGGAAATTCGCAAGACTTGGGTTGTTCAAAAACTAACTTTATTCAAACGTGCAGTTTGGTGAAGTAATCGAGCGGATTGTACTCGCATTCCGGATAAAAGGGCGCGCATCTCCCGCGCGTATTCCTACCGATCGCCTCGGCGGCGTGATACTCGCGATTCGAATAGATTTCGTATTCCTCGCTGGTCGTCGACGGCGTTAGGAGGACGTGCAATAGCTCCCCCAGGAGCCCGTGTCCTTTGTTGAAGGGATACGCCGCGGATTCGCAGACGATGCGGAGCAGACAGGCCTTACCGGAACCGAAACGCTCCATCGTCGATTCCAGCATCCCGTACAGTGTCCATCGTGTCATGTAACCTGAAAATAAAACGAAAATTACGGGCGCGCAACACCTGGGCTAAATCAAGGCCTTTTTTACGCCCACGTATAAACTTTGCGAAAAAAAAAAAACGACAATAAGAGTCCGCGCGAGAATCCTCTTACAAGTCGATTAACGTGGCTCTTGAACAAAATGTCCCTCTTTTTGTGTTTACGGTGATTGATATACAAGAAGTAGAAATATATGTGTATACAGATATCTTATAGAAGTTTAAAAAATATTAAAATTTTGTAATATAGAGGTAAAGATAGGAAAGATTGAATATTAAATATAAACGACGTTTCAAAGCTGTAAAAAGTTAGTTAAAATTGACTAAAATTTAATTGATTTCCTACTTTCAAAATTGACTAAAATTTAATTGATTTTCTATTTTTAACTTTTAGTTAACGCAATGTATTAGTTAAATCTATTTATATATTAATTTGTGTATTCATCGTGTTGTATTAAATTAATCTTTTAGACAGACAAATTTAATTTTCAGTGACGTAGCGTTTGAATCACGCTTTCCAGATATGTGTACACTGCGTTTAAAATATTGCCTACTCTATATTCTAAACCTTCCCCGCACTCTTCAAATCTCTATCGAATTAACATCAGCCTCAAACGTCGTAAAAAAAAGAGCTGATCGTGCGGCGACTTCTCGAATGTGCGTTAATATTACGACGAGGGTCGTAAAAGAAGCGTTATGACAACGGCACCGTGTAGTGTCGAGTGACCCATCAACGTTAGCCGTGCAATAGCACGTGTTTCTATTGACTTCCAGGAGAAACCGTCCCGCAGAGGTTCCTTCCGGGCGAAAATGAGGGAAAAAAACCTGATGCCGGTGACGAGTTCACCTCGTAAAAAGGGGGAAACATCTGCGGTAAACAGCCATCCGGTCGACGCCACTCGAAATGTACGGTTGCCGTTGGTAAAGGGACGAAAAAGAACGTGGATGTTGCTTTAAATGAGTTATTGTAAACTCAAAAACCACGCGGTACATCGTGCTAGCAAATTGCTCTCGAAACGTAATAAGAGTCCGACTTTTACGTATAAATAAGAAAATCAAATACGAATTTCCGCAATTGGATAAATTTCAAAAATTTATCCTTTGGAAATAAAAAAGAAATCTTTTGTATTCTGACGTATGCATAATTCAGTTTTTGGTCTATTCGCAATTACATTTTTCAAGAGTTGTCATTTTCTTATTTTTAATCGTCGCGAGAGATTACATTGAAGAGAGAAAGATTATTGTAAAGAGAAGTACCGGTCATGTTGCCGCTGATAAAAATTCCGATAGTTTCGATTTTTCTCTTTATTCTCGTCTTTTTTTTCGCGATTAAAGCAATTTTCCATAAAAAAAATACAAGCAAAGATAGCCGGATAGGCATGCAAACTTCTCAATATCGTATTTTATCGACAGTTTCCAATAAAGAATGCGCCTCGGGAGGAGAATTCTTGAGCCCTTAATTTTTTTTTCTACTACACAAAACGGCATGGAAACATGGCGATAAGTTTTCCGTAAGAAATGCGAAATTAAATACGTCTAATATTTACACTGCATAAAATTAAAAAATAATTTATTCATCCAAGTTACTTTATCGATATTCTCTTTAAAAAGCTCGTCTTTGAATGAAGATATTGTAACGTATATGTAAAGTACCAGATATACTCTTAGCAGTAAATTTTTGCCATGAAACTCTTATGGCATTAAATGACTGTATGAAATCTTTTTCTGAGCGCTTTCGTGAAATGATACCTTCATTAAAAATTAAAATCGTTTTATCTCGTTAATCCACCGTTAATGGCACTCTTGGGTTTGAGATAATATATCTTTTCTGTAAATATATCTTCTACAAAAATGTTCCGACAAGACAGAAAGATCTGTGGGTATCTTAATAATATCCAAGAAATATTCCACTTCTTAACCGCTTCTATGAATATCTAATAAACGGCTAATTAATCATTCCAGGACGGGAATTAATTACATCCCCCATTAATATTTCGTGTTTATCTCCGCGGTGATATGGACAAAAGAATGGAAATCAATACTCTTGATATCTGAAAATATTTGAAGATCTTGATCGAACATTTTTGAATAAAATTTGCTGGACGACTAAATTTTTCTTTATCTAAACTTTATTTGCTGGAGAGCTAAACGTTTACGATAAAAATGAAATAAATAGAGATATTTTTAAAAATATAAAAATCTCGGTAAAACATTATACAATGCGCGTTTAGTTGAACGATCCGTTACATCCCTCTTCGCGTCCCTAATGAGGGAGCGGAAAACTAATACATCTACATCAATTAGCTGGCGTCCACATATAAATCCACCGCTTTATGTTGGCGATGCTATCCCCTCGTTAATTGCGTCCCTTAAATACGTGACTCCGCATTCGTTGCGTTTCATTAAGCCTTGCGTTCGTCCCGCGCCGCGGTTTAATTACCCGCGTCGCTTTCTCGCCATTATTATGCGTTTCATTATCGTCTCATTCGTTACGCTTCGTGATTTCCGTTTCGTGCATTTCCGTTCCGAGAGATTTTTCGCGAGAACGAGAGTGCCTTTGACGGCGCGACGCGCAAAAAACAAGGAGGAAAAATTAAAAACGAGCATAATCCGCGGGACTGGGTTACATGTCCGGGGAGGAGGGAACGAAGAAGGGAGAGGGAATGGGCTCATTTTTATATACACGCGCGATTAAGCCACGACTGCACTTTACCTTCGCTCGTTGTCGTCCGCGATAATGCAAAGTCATTCTCGGATCTCTTTAATCGTGACCGCCACTGCTGCAAGTCCGACGCGTTGTAGGGAAGATTATAATTGCATTTCAGCACATAACCGAGAATCGTGGATACCTCGCCCTCCATGGGCAGCCCGAGCCCGAAGAGCACCTACGCAAATTTAATTAAACGCTTGGTGCGAGAGCTCGCGAGCTATTTCTTCGACACGTCGAGATACGTTAAGTCAATATTTGCAACGAAGGTGATAACACTGATAATCTCCACTTCGTCAATATCGCTGATCTGTATCGCGGAAACGCGTGGAATATTATATATTTTTTTTTTTTTTACTAATTCAATTAGAGAATTAGAATTCATTATCGGAGTAACTTTTGTAAAACTATGAATAGTAATAATTTAATATTAATAATTTTTATATAGTTTTCGTGGCTGTTTTCTTTTTCTTTTTCAAGTGCAAATAATAGATACTTGTTTTATTTCGAGTGCCAAAGGTATGAAATGATGTAAAAAGAATAGAGATCCAATATAATAAAAACAGAAGTTTTATGAAAATAAAATATGTTTATCTCTCTATTCTTAAAAGTAGTATATTTATTTATTCAAAAATGTTTCATATTTAAATATCTGTTCTTCTTATATCTGATTGTAAATTATAAATACGTAACATATAATATTAAAATAATATAAGTTCTATAAAAAAACACATGCCAATATGGTATTTTAATATATATTGTCATTTTATAATTTCTCAAAGTTTAATCTATAATGTATAAAATAAAATATATATAGCAAATAAGAAAATATTAAAAGCTCCAATCGTCATATTAAACAAACGGAAATGTAATCTAAAAGTAAAATTATATGTATATATAAGATCTATCTTGATTAAAAATGTTCAATATACGTAAGAAAATTCAAATAATTGGATCAAATATTATTTCATTATTATACACACACATGTACATGTGTAACACTTCTCTATTACATATTATTACGTTATCTATATTATTATTATATTAAATTATTTATATTCAAAGATTACATACCTGATATCTAGTCTCGCTCATTTTCGGGTCAGGAAACAGAAGATGCCGTCGTTCTCGGAAGAAGTTTATTACTCGGCGATTCGATTCAACTTCGAATCGATAAATACACACGAAAAATGCCGTCAGTATCAAAGAAGAAACTTTCGTCATTTTACCATTCGTGATTTCAGAGCAATTGGTTAAAACAATCGTGAAATTTAATCATGAAGTTCTCGAGGTACGAATCAATATCCCAGTCGCCTAAGTAGCGGACTAATTAATACGAAAAGATTTCCGTGTGTACACGTTAGTTAACGTTTGTCACTCATAACTGTACACAGAGTGATGTCTGACAGAAATCGATTTGCATGTCTCGACGTCGCGAAGCGCCTCTCGATTGCTCACGCAAATCGACGCAAAGTTCTAAAGTCTGCAGATTGAAACGGTTTCTGCAAATCTGAGCTGCCATGCTTAACCGGGTAGAAAAGATCTTGTAAGCTTCAGAATTCGATACTTTCTCTTTTGGCTCTCTATTTTGCCACATGTTTATCGAACTCTAATTGATCTAAATAACATTAATTTTATTTATTAATAATCAAATAAGAGGAGAGTAAATTTGTTATAAAATTAAATGTAGAGACAAAAGAGAGAGAAAATATACACACACGCATACACACACACATGTAGCAATTATTGCTTCTATACGTTTTAATAATTGACTTATTTCTCGATTTTGAATTTTTACTATGTGTAATCCAAAACAAATTTTTGGCAATTTGTAGATTTTTCGTACTTAATTTGATGTTGATATCCCACATTGTACTATCAAAAATGGCGAACTCTGATATCGCAGAAATATTGCATCGGCCGATAAGAAGTCTGACATTTCCGGAAAATAGTAATATGGGCGTGAGTATAAAATAAATACACATAAAACAATAATTAAGATATATCATACATTAAGATAACAGCGCAATTGTAATCTTATCAGTTAACACAATTTATCGCGATAGATGTAAAAAATATTAATTAAAAATAATATTCATTATACTGCAATCATATTTTTACGTTTCTCTTCCCTGAAATTTACAAATTTTTTCTTTATCATCATCTCTTATTATTCATTAAAAAATGTCGATTTTGAAGAGCTTGAAATTTGTAAGATCTTGTTCCCTTGAAAATTTCACAGTCCCGAGAAGAATCTAACGCAAAAATGAAATCGAGACGATCACACGATTAACGTTTTCACAGATCTTCGTCGCTCTTGCAGTGCCGCTCGAAAATCCACTGAATTCTATCTCCCTGTCGTACTTTTTCGAGGCTAACTACGTTTTACCGCCGAACATAACGTACTTTGAGCCTTGGACGGAGCTAAAAAGGAGAAAGCGGAGTATCGACAGAGCCACGATCTATCGAGTTCTGGAAAGTAAATTCGAGAGGCAAGTTCGCAAACAGACAGCCATATATTACGAGAGTTGGTCCCCTTCTTCGTACTATAATTCCTAGTGTAATTCCTTCGCGATACTTTATGGTATTTATGTTCCTTCTAAATCCTGATACAACCTATCTACGACAATTTCTTAAATTTTCTTGCACTTGTTCAAATTCAAAATACTCGATCAATCTATCTTTAAATTTGATGCGATACTTTATGGTATTTATGTTTCTTCTAAATCCTGATACAACCTATCTACAATTTCTATCGACAATTTCTTAAATTTTCTTGCACTTGTTCAAATTCAAAATACTCGATCAATCTATCTTTAAATTTGATAAGAGATCGCTGCTGATCTAAACAATAATAAAATTTAATTCTAAGACAAACTATTATAATAACGGATTCGAATTATAAATTCTTCATCATTTTTACCCTCTTATTTCAATTTTTGATTAAATCATGTTAGATCAATTTCTGATTTTGTTATATATATATTATCTTATTTTTCAATGTTAGTTTGCTTGTATTTTCTCAATTTTTTTTACACATTCGCGTTCTTATAATTTACGTTCTCAAAACAAAATGACTTACTGCTTTTCAAATCCCAAAACGTACCATAGAGTTCTTGGAAATAATAATAATCACTTTTAAATTAGTACGTCGTAAATGATTTGGCTGATTACATAGTAAGATTGAACGGCGCCCTCGATATCGCGCGAATCATGCTGATCGTGGAATATGAGAATTCGACGAAAGACTTTCATTGGAATGCTGCATCGTCGCGACGCTCGGAACAGACGGAAAATCAGTGGAGATTCGAGATAGAAAGTCACAAATGCACTCTTGGCTTCATTTTACGAGCATTCGGGGCGTCTGGGAATTGCGTTACATGCTCGACTCGGCATGTATGTGTGTGTGCATGCGTTCGCGAAAATATACATAGGCAACGAATTATGTATGCACACATGAGTCTTCAATCCGGTATTTAGAGAATCGTAAAGCGCAAAGTAAACAGACTACGACGTTTCGTTCTCCCATCTCCGTGCGCTTTCTTGATTTTTCTCTCTGCCTGCAGCTCCGGGAATCCCGGAAGAGAGTGCCTTCTGAGAGCGATCTGCGAAACCTCGGAATATCCGCTTCGGCACAACGGGATCATCGGCGACATAATGCATGTGCTTTTCACGTAAGTTTCTATTGTTTATGTAACAATAATGGCCGAAATTTTACGGAAATAAGGAATAATGCGATTAAAATCATTTCATTTCTTTTAAAAAACTCTCTTCTAATCTCTTAAATAATTTTTTCTAAAAATATATATGAAGCATAAAATGAAATAAATTATTTAATATACCAAAGACTGTATCTCAAAAAGAGAAGCTTAGATAAAATGCTTCTGTACAAAGCTACTGCTGAGAAATTGGAATATTTTAAACTTTCGGCTATCCGTGCACTTCAAGATTGTTATAATAATTTATTAACGCGTTCGTTAATAATACGAGATTAATTTCGCGTTTGACAATGACTCTCGAAACCTTTTGTCATTCGGGAACGAGCTATCACGCTAAAGCAATTAACGATCTATTATATACGCAATAAGATTCGCGAATTCGATTAATAATTCGCAGTTTCTCATCCTCCCCGTCCTCTCTTGCTTTCTCCGTTACACCGGTATTGTTCGGTCGACTGGCGAATAAAATGCGCCAAAGAGAATGCACAGACGGGAATTTTTTCTCTTCTGCAAAAAAAAAAAGAAGTAAAAAAGCGCGCCGCTCGCGGGCCTTTTTTTTCTCCCAAATACAGCGGCGTTCCAAGGCGCTGCAAATTGGAGCAGATACGCGCGCCGTAGAAAAGCAAATTTGGCTTCCTCGCAGCCAACCCGCCCACCCTATAGAGACGTGCATCCGTTCCGCTTCGACCCGCTTCTCCCTGCCGTGGGCGAATAAACTCTCCAACCAGGAACGTATGAATAAAGGACACGAACCCGCGGGCAAAAGCGACATTGTCGTCGTCGTCGTCGTCATCATCGTCCGCCGCGACGAACGAACGAAAAAGTCCGTCTCCGTATAACGCGCAATCGCGTTGATAAATTGCACTTTTCGCGAAAGGCGCCAAGAACTTTTCTTCCGTATCTCTTTCATATCTTATATCACGTAAACGAACTCTGTTGTAAATAAAAATAAAAGCTTCTGGTATTATTATATTCATCGCTCGCAAAGAACGCATTTCTAATAATACCATAACTGTTGCAAGATAGCTATATATATAAAAAAATATTTTCTATTAATTATACTAGAATGTCGAAATTACATCTTTTTAATCCTTCGAGACTTTAAACATCATAATCCGTTAACGATCTGCCTCGAACCGGCAGCGGAAAATGCGTCGGAGCAAGTAAAAATAACAGGTAAAGAAGGAGTGTCGTCCCTTTAAGATTTTTGTATCTCGGCACGAGAGATACGCAACCTCACTCCCATCGCATTGTCGTTTTCATCGTCGGGAACGCGACAATGCACGGTTCCCTTCCGCGGAAAATGTTGCGCGCACAAAAACACAGCGGGGAAAGAACATACAAAGAAGCGAGAGCTCGTTTCGCGTCTTCGTTCTTAACGTTGCACTCGTGCTACACACTGATGCATTATTACGCCCTGCCCGGATGCATCTTCATCTTTTTGACTACCAGAAGAAACGTGAAATTACGAGGGAACTCCATCTACGTCTCGAGAGCGGCATAGAAAGGTCTCTACCGATCGCCAGATAGTAGAAACGAAACGAAATGTACGGACAGTGGAATAATTTGTCATATTTAAAATAATTTTTCGTGAATTGATGTATCATGAAAAGTTCTTTGGCTCACCATTCCTGCAATATTAAATTTTTTCCTCTCTATCTTCTAAAAAAAAAAAATAAAATTACTTTATAACACGAGTTACTTCGTTATTTCTGTTCGCCAGTCAAGAAACATTGAATACTCGATTCGCTCCGTAAGTACAAGACAACAAAGTTGCAAAGTTATGGCGCGGCCGTTCTAAATTTTAATAAAACCGGCAATAAAGTTTCAAGAGAGAAATGCCCGACGCTTCTCCGGACGAAGGTCGGAAAACAGGACGATACGCCCTTCGGATATTTCAGAACGCGAAGATGCATCCTCCCTCCCGCGAGCCCGAAAAAAAAAGAGAAAGAAATTCGGAGAGGGGAATATTATCGTGAAGGAAAAATATTTTTCATTCGGTTCGTTTCGAGCACGCAGGATATTCAAGATTTATCGTCTCTCATCGAGAAGGCTTATGAACTCCCCCGAGAGAGAAAGAGAGGAGGGGGCGGGATTATGAGAGACGGATCGGGGCAAAAGGCTGCGAGGGGCTAAAGGAGAAGGGCAGAAAAAACGGGGACGAAATAAAACTCCAATAAACCGATTGTATCGCCGCGCACAGTATAACGAAAGATGATATAAAAAAAATTGGGCCGGTGCGAAACCGTTTTTTTTTCTCTTTCTCTTTCTCTCTCTCTCTCTCTCTCCCTTAAAGTGGCGATTACCATGTGAGACAACGATACTTCGGAATTGTTTTTGTCATAAACGAACACTCACGGTGTCTCGAACGCAAAAGCCGAAAGAATAAACAAACACAGGGCAAATTGCGTTCTTGAAATTACGTAAGATGCCTGTATCTTTTCTCCGGCTCATTATTCGCGGATATGCGAAAATAATGCCGAACGCATTATCAGGCTTGCACTTGGGCGAGAAGGGAGATGAAGTTTTCAGCGAATTTCCGAACAGCGTATCATGTCAAGAAAGATTACCATCGTAATTTTCGGCGAAATTAAAAAACACCGTTTTAGAAGAGAAAAAGAGAGATCTTTAATTCTAATTTTAATCGCAAATAAAGTTTTAATTTGAATTTTTCAATTATTTGACGTTGCGAGTTAAAAAATAAATACTGATTTCTTGAAATATTGTCTTATAAGAGAGAGAGAATCATTTTATCTCATCATCTAAATAAAGAAACCTTTCCCTTCAATGCAATGATTGTGAAGGGGACGCCACGGATTTTTATTGCGGTTCAATTATTAGAAGGAATCGTGTTTTCAGTCCGAGCGCGTCGAGGCACGAGGAATTGCCGCGAGATGTTGTCGAGGCCGAGCTGGTCGGCCGCAATGGAAGCTGTTCCAAGTACCAACCGCAATGTCCTCTGGGACTCTTCGACTTGATTGGAGTTTTCGCGTGAACCCTGAAAAATCGTCGCCAAGTTTACCGTGTGGTTTTCGGGAAACAAACAATCTAATTACGCCACTATTGAAAAGCTCACGTCCATGTGTACAAACGTAGAATGTAACATGTTTCCATAGTTTCTAAAGTCTCGGTGATTCGATCTATTTGATAGAGAAACGTGTATTGACAGAAAATTTTCTAGTAAAAGAATATCGAATACTTTTAGTTAGGGATATATTTATATTTATGTGTAGAATATATATTGTGTAAATAATATGTGAGTAAACATTATTACATGCACTGTACGCAGTATATAAATTATAATTTATATAAATTATAAATTATATTTTTAAATAAATATAAATTATATTTATATAAATTATATTTTTAAATAAATTATTGTCTATCTCATATATGATGACCGCATTTTTTCTTTTAAACTTTAACCGTAGTTTTCAAATTCATATAAACTCATTACTATCACAGTATCTGCACAAGAGTTCATGATAGAATATTTAGTAAATTTCCTTAAATTCTTGTCCGATATCTCACGTGGAAGATTACTGAATTTTTTACACGATTCTTCCTTTCTCGTTGCTTTACTTCACGAAATTATTGGATCCTTAAAACGCCGCAAAAGGAGACGCTCTTTAAAACAGAAACAGTTAATTTGTACTCGCGCGATGATATATGGCAAACTAAAAGTCCTTCGGGTATATCCTTACCGTTTATTCGCAGTTTATTATCTACCAGGAGAACCCGCTGCGCACACAGTGGAAAAGAGTAGAAAAACGAAAGAACGCGCGTTGTATTATCGAATTATCGCGCAGGCGAACGTATTTATATGCTCGCTCGTAATTGTCGTGTGATCGTAAATCTCAAATGAACGAGAAAGGATATAAGAGTTATTGCCACATTTCTCCGTTCTACCTTCCGTATCCGCTCCCGAGCGAAACTGCGTTAGAATTATTTCAGCGCCGACACCGATAAGGGAGATAAGAAACTTTTCGAAAATAATTAAAACATTAATAGATGAATAATTAAAACTAATTATTAGATTATTACGATGTTTTTCTTTTGATATCAACTATTAATCAATTATTTTTACGAAATAGGAATCGTTTCGTTGAAACAATGAAATCAGCAGTACCCCACACGATGAATTAATAACTAAATATATTACAAATGTTGCATCTTTTTTTCACATCCCTTCATTTTTTCAGTATACACTAATAGCAAGTCATTAAAATTGCAGATTATTCATGGGCCGAATTTTCAAAGCGCTGTTTTCAGTTTGGAATGCTTCGGAAAATTTTCTATTTTCCGCATTATCTCTCTGGGAGTTCATGAGAGAGAACGCGTATCGCTCGAAAGAGAAGTCTATCGGCAATAATTCAAGCGATAACTCGCCGAATAAAATTTCATAAAGAGATTCGTCGGAACTTTCAAGTTTATACCCGAAGTTCCCGAAAATGCAGTAAATTTTACAACCGCTACAAATGGAGAAGTCTCGAAGATTCTGACATCTCTACGTGGAAAGTAAAACATTTTACAGCATCGAGTTCACGGAGGACTTTATTCGCTTTACATTAGAGATTTAAAAGCGATGCTCCCGCACGTGTGAACCGTTTACCGATTTAACGACGATGTCCCTGGTCGGTTTAATCTTTTTACGCTATAAAGTCAAGTAATTGTGAACTACTGGCTTAATTCATTACACAATATTCCCTTTCGTAGATTGGTGTGTAATTCTCAAAGATATCACATTTCATATTCAAAGATATGTTTTTTTCTTGACTTAAAACTCAAGTTCTCAAGCGTTTTATTTGATTTCGTGATACAATGATACCAAGAGAATACACTTGTACATTTTGTTGAATCAGTACGGAAACGGCCTTTATAACGCATGCACATTCACACGCCCAGCGACAGCAAAAATATTCAAGTCGCGTGAAAATAGAATTACCCTTCCGCATGGATACACCCTTAGGAAATTCGCGTGCAACGCACTTCCCAGGAAGAAAAACTTCATGCTTCTGGAAAAGTTACAAAGTCGTAAATGTTAAATTCGCAGGAGGAATATATTCCCATACATTCCTCCGTTTCTTTAACATTCTCCGCGTCGATGTACTCCTGAAGAAGATTTTCTTCCGGCATGGACGAGCTTGGTCTACGAAGAGAAAATTTCAAGTCAGCTTCTCGACGAGCATCAATAAAAACACTTAATTTTGTTCGAGCGGCTCGCAATAATTAACATTTAAATTGAACGATAATTTGAAATTAATCGATCTTGTTTTCATACGATGAATATTACGGATCTCTCTTTTCACTATGATTCCGTTTTACGTCAATTTTGTTTACATTTCCATTGCATATAAATATATCACAATATTATTTGCTGTAAAAATATTGATAAAAATTGAGTTTTTTTTTTATTTATGCAGAAAATATTACATTCATTGTGTTAACTGGAGAAAACACGTAATGTTATTTAATATTTCGCTGATCTCATGAATGTTATCAACTACTAACCATTTATATGAGATATTTTTAAAGATATTTATGATGCATTAATATTATCAAATCGAACATTCTTTATTCGATACGTTATTTTCTATATTAAACTTCATGTTAGCTTAAGCTTCAGTTACACATAAGTTAAAAAGAGATTAAGAGAGAGATATCGAGAATAGAAAATTGAAAATATTTTGTCATCGTAAAATCTTCATCAGCGAAATGCATTTCAAATTTATCAAAGATTATATATACATAAAAAGAGATTATATATATAACTTTACAATATGCTAAGCCAAAGAAAGATTTATCTCAACATTCCATTATTTCTCAATATTAAGAACTTTGCCAATTTTAATATTAAATTTTCGTGCAGTTTCTAAGATATTTCATTTACTAGCATTTCAAAGCATTCCTCGATGAGTGAAAAAGTATCTTTTTTACGCTCTCTATTTCCAGGATGATCGATTTAAAGAAAAAAAAATGATACCGCTTTTTTTGGTTCAGGAGAGCAGAGACGTATGCTAAAAAAATCTTGATGAATGACTTACGCAAATACGATACGCAACAGATCGCCGAGTAGCCCGTTATGGATGTGAACGGCTTGTCGTTTGGTCTCGCATATGGATCTAAGAAGACATTGACGTCCCGGATACCCCATTCTGCGAAGCAATAAAGCAAATGTTCCGTCATCCGTACATACGTCATTCCCATACGATGAATGATGTTTGACAAATGAGGCGGCCACGTAAGAGCAACGGTGTCGCGGACAGGAAGATACGTGGAGCATATTCCGGAAGTTTGCTCGTTTAAAACAGCTTTGACAGCTAATTGAAAAACTTGCGCGATACAGTGCACAGCGTGTTAGCTATAGATAAAGATAATAAATGTAGCGTCAGATAAAGTATGTTCGACACAAAAACAGCCGGCTCAAGAAACTCGATAGTAGATTATCAATTGATCAATCTTAACGATCGGCACTATTACTTATAATAAATATTGTTAATATATCAGCCTCTTAAAAGACAAATTAATTAACTCTGCTTTACATAATTTTTTTTTTTAATTTTAATACAAAAATGCTAATATTATGTGCTCTGGTAATAAAATTATGAAATTTATAAAAAGTGAAGTTTGACTTCTGACAGCCTCATATAACTATTAACGTCTGACAGTTGATATTTACATACGTTGAATAAGAATTTCCACATCGTTCTTGCTATTAATAATAATGATAAAAATATTTTTTTATTGAATGCAACGGAATGTATTTATATGTTGCAGGTTTTTTGTAAAAAACTAAAATCTTCTAAAAAGCCGAATTTTTATAAAAAACCTAAGCTTGGCGATTCGAGACTGTCATTCATCTCTGCGGAGTGACAACAATGCTAAATTAAAAAAGGTATATTTTAATGATTAGTTTACGTTTAAAATAGTGTGGATTGTCTTCCTCCTAGAATGCGCGCGTCTAGGATACTCGTGCCAATAAAATGGAATATCAGATAAGACGCGCTAATTATCTCGTTAAGAATCGCATTGAATAATTTCGATGGATAATAGCCTCTGTTGATAAGCTTCCCGACACGTGTACCATGCGGAAATTTGCATATCGGGCCGGGGAAATTTGTATTGCATAAGTTTGCGTACGTGAAAGTTCACGAAAGGTGAATCGGGGCCGCTATCAAGAGAATCGAGGATCTCCCAAAGTCTCCAAGTAAATCTCGACGAGACCATTTTACCTCACCCCACCGTTCGTGGACTATTATTATTGTTTGAGATGCTTACTTGCACGGCGATATCCGCCAAATTCGTTCTCTTTAAAGCTATTCTCCCTGAAAAACATCTATAATTTGCGATAAATAAAACTTAAAAAAAAAAGAGAAGAATATATATACTCTCCAATTTTTCGAAAATTAATTAACTCTTAATTAAAACGAATTAAATCTTATTCTAAGATAAAAACTACTTTAAAAAACTACTTTATGCACGAGTTACCGACGATTCAAATTTGGACTCCAGCATGGCGTAGATCGTGGTACGATCTATGACCCTTCGTTGTTGTCGATTAGCGTTTCTCTTGACCCTGTCCTCACCATCTCCGCTCGTCTGTTCGATTTCCGTCACGTTCGTCGGCAACTCGTACTCTGCCTCGAGAAACATAGCCACCGACATCGTCGACGATGGATCGTCCAGAGGAATGGCAAGAGCAAAAAACAGCTAAAAAGAAAAAAATATCACTTCAGTTAGAATCGATCGGAATCTTTAATATTGTTTAGAGGAGACACAACCCTCTTGACACTTAAGAGAAATTATAAAAATATTTGAATGTTCCATTCTCTCCCTGTTTCTCGGATATGAAAATCGTTTTTCAATGTCGTGTATATCCAGCGAACGCTGCGATATTATTCGACTCGAGCATTATGTCGTGGAAAAGCCGACTGGTGGGTGCGTCGCGAGGGGGGAGAAAAAGGAAAACGCGTAATGACGGAGTCGCGCGTCCCGCGTGATTAATCTTCCGGGAGAACAAAAGTTCGGCCTGCGAACTTTTCCTTGTTATAAATATGGATACTAGGAGTAAAACTCTCTTCGCGCGCGCGATCCCGGTAAAGAGAAAGCGCGCCATAACGACGACTTTCTTTCATCTCTCGAAACGCAGAGACTGCTAGCTAACGAACCTGAAACTAAATCGAAGTCGCGAGAGAGGGGAAATGTAGAAAATGTCTACGGGCGTTAAGAGACTTTACCGCAGCGCGACATGGAAAATGTACTTGTTAGACCCGCGATACAGTATATTCGGCCAGAGTTCGTGTCACGAGATGTAAGTATGTGAATATAAAATGAACGCAGAACATAGAATGTAATAATCTTCCCTGAATTTCAGTGAAACGTGTATGGCAAGAACCTCAAACGAACTCATTAAGCTCCAAGAAACAGTTAAAGCTTTAATTAAGCTTTTGCAAATGTGTAATAATCAGAAAATACAGATATATATATATTGAATTTCAGTGTGTATGGCAAGAACCTCAAACGAACTCATTAAGCTCCAAGAAACAGTTAAAGCTTTAATTAAGCTTTTGCAAATGTGTAATGTAAAGAAAATACAGATATATATATATATATATATATTTATTCATATATAAAACAAAATTACTTTAAAAAATGTATCATTTTTGCTGATTGTTTAACAACTAAAAAATTTCGCAATGTAAAAGAAAGTATCGTTCATATTTTTGTTTTCGCAAAAAATATACAATGTGAAAATTATTTAGATAATAATAAATAAAAAAATACGAGATGTCTTTTTGACTATTTTATAGAATTTGCATATGTTACGAAATTTTTGTACAAAAGTCGAATCGATTCGTTACTTTTTCTCAGTCAATACTTTTCCTCCCGGCGCAAAGCACACCCCCTAGATAGGTACCGCGACGTAGCCGTACGCAGGCGTCAACATGGCCACCTCTTGACGACTCCATCCAGTCGAGCTGACTCTCCTTCGTTTAACTCGTATCAGTAATTAATAACACACCGTTAAGTCTCATCGTGTAAAACGAGAAGCCTCGCAAAGGAATTTGATTGTGAGACTTGAAAGGGAAAGTGTTAGCGCGAGAATATTGTGAGGCGTGCAAGACTCAAATAATATCTCTTGTGAAGTGTTCATTATTGATAACGAAGCTTGTGCAGCTAGACGGTATTTTAGGCAAAATGTCGATCAAAGGAGTGAACAGTTTTGCAATGGCGGTTAGAACGCAACGATGCAATAATAACATATTTATTCTACGTTATGTTTATCGATCAAATATTTTATGCATTAGATAGAATGGCATATTTTTTTATATAATCAATGGTGAATATAACAAGTAACACACATTTTGTGAATAACATAAGAGGAAGTAAAAGTTTTTATAACATTATGGCGAATGAAAACTTACTGGTGGATTAAAAGGTGTGAATACGAATGAAGCAATTTATTACTTTTGTTGCAGCAATTTTATTTTTTGGATTCTGGAACTGTGATTTATTTATTTCTTCCAAGAATAAGAAAATTTACAACGGATTCTTTTTACGGAAATTACAGATATATTACATAATGTATTCATCAATAGCTGTGACTTTTTATCACATTCATATTATTTAAAACGTCAAACATTTTAAACACAGTTGACAAAATCTTTAGAATCTAGAAATTTTATTTTCCTGTTATTAAAGACAATATGCTGAACTTTTATTACAAATAAAAAAGTATAAATACGAAACAATCCTCTTATTTTATTATTTTCACGACAGTAAAAATAATAGATGAATTTTATTTTGGTTACGATGATTCCTCTTATTTAAAAATTTTAAATAAAAAAATAGGAAATATGTACTAAATATTCAGAAATGCTAATTTTTTTGTATAGAAAA